AACATTTACCATACAAGATTGTAACTTAAGATCATTAAATGATATTTTGATTTACTGAAAAAAAGTTAAGGTTCCAGTCATGTTATATCCTATGTGTTCTACTTGTTCTGCTTTTAGGCAGTGTATCCCTCTAATAACTATACCGCTTCCCTCGGAGGAGCCTTTAAAGCGGTCTCTGCTGACGCTGGTAGAGCCACCCTGGTAGAAATGTTGTTGACCCTGATCCTCACCATGGTGGTGTGCCTGGGGGCCGTCAACAGGAAAACCCAAACGGACTCGGTTCCTTTTTGCATTGGCCTCACTGTGGCTGCCAACATACTTGCTGGGTAAGAATCTCAGGAGGAATCACTGGGAGCTAGACTCTAATCACTATTAGGGCCACGATAGGAGCCGTGGTTTCAGATTTAAAATAATAATAATAATAAAAAAAGGTCTACTTGTTTATTTTGTCCTGCTTTTGGTTGACTTTTGTAATAAGTACTGAAAAGGAGAAAAAGTAAAAGTCAAAATGGCAGAACCTAAAGATACTGGGTCTTATTATAGCCCATGGGGGTCTCACACTGTGGGGCAGTGCCACCTTGGGGGGTGTTGCTAATGGGGGGAAATTAAAGTGAAACTAGTATGATATGATAATATGATTTTTTTTTTTAGGGAAAATAAACAAGAGCGTGCTACTGCTACTACATCATCTTTTTACTTTACTAAAATTAAACTTTTTTTTTTTTGACTTAAATCACTGATACAAATTAAAAGATGTAGGGTGTGAACTTCTTTCAGCTCATAAAGCAAGGCATGACAGCAAAGGTCTGAGAACCACTGGAACAGGTTAATCTCTGTTCCTCTAATATATCCTCATGAGTTTATTAACTTTGTCAAGTTTCCCTTTTAAATGAGTCTTTATGTCATGCACAAGCATGTGGACCATAATCCCATTGCTTGTATATCCTGTTTTTCTTGCATGAGAAGTGTGTTGCTGATCTGCATCACTGATTTCCAGCTGTATTAACGTGTTGGTTTGTCATGACTGTTATTTCAGAGGGACTTTGTCTGGAGCTTGCATGAACCCTGCCCGTGCCTTTGGTCCTGCCATGGCTGCCAACCACTGGGACAATCACTGGGTCTTCTGGGTTGGACCCGTTGCTGGTGCACTGCTAACTGTCAGCATCATCAGGTAAAGATTCAGGACATGTTATTTGCTTTTGCATCCAAAAGTCAAACGTGCACATTTCACATATGTCTAGTATAGATTTGTAGTTCCTCGTAAAAAAGGCCATATTCATGTAGCATTGCAGTACTATTGTTGGGATGAAAGTGGGTGGCAAGTCAGCCACAATATTACGTTCACCTTTTTAAATACTCTTAGTATTTCGGTAGGTGTTATTTATTTATTATTAGTTACTTCTGCAAGGCCAATCATAATGCTTAAGTATTATATCCTTCTTAACCATTTATAGACCCAAAAAACCTACTATACTGGAACTCCTGGGGTCTTATGAGACACACTTTGCAGTTACATTAAGTCTCTCTAATGTTGTTTCTATTTAGATTATGCCTCTTTGAAGAATCTGTGTATTCAGAATACACACATCCTACAAAAGATGGAATATGTGTAAAAAGCACACAGTGGCTTTGTACCACATCATGTGCATTTTAGCAAATTTTTCTTAGATGAATGAAAGGTCATGACAATAAATGGATAATAAATGTGATGGAAATAAGCAGTAAAGATGATCTTTTTTTGCAGGTTGTTGATCGGTGACCATAAAACTCGAGTTGTGCTAAAGTGAAGGCCTAATTCATTAAAGAGGACTGCAGAGACCACAACCAGTTGATGGGTATCTTGGCATCTTTTCCATTCGGATGGTCATACATTTCTCAGCAACATGTGAAGAATGTGTGCCCACAGATATCCACCATAACTGTTGGCTTCTATTGTTGGGCTGGAAAAAGTCCAGGCATATTTAACAATAAAAGTTTCTTCCAAACGCTCACACTGTCTGCACTACTTACTTGAGTCTTTTGTATTTGTTTGAATCAAAGTCCCACATGGTAAGGACTGGAGTATTTTAATAGTTTTATTACTTAAATGACGGTACAAGGACAGGCCAGTGGCTTAAAATATAAAGGCAGATTAGAATCATAAACTGGTGTACTTCGATCCAATGAGACTTGAAACGTAGATTCTTTTTTTTTTTTTTTTAAGACAAAATACTTGGTTGCAAGTGAAAATTTCATAATCAAAATGAACAAAAGTCTTGAGTCACTCATTGTAAATCTCGTCGGGGAATTATTGAAACGTGCTAACACATGTGGAAAGACAGCATATAAGGAAAAAACCTAGCTTGTACAATTCTGTTGAGTTTGAAAGTAAAAGGACTGCTTCTTATGTAGCGCTTTTATTCTCTGCCTAAGTAGACCAGCCCATGACTGATAGTGTCCACTGTGTGTGTTTCTATACACGTATGCTTTTACTGCAGTGGTGGTGTGATGCTAATAAATGAAGCCTTTGCCAATCAGATGCCTTAAACATGTTACTGCGTGGCAGATCAAAATCCGACTGTTCTTGTCTGTCTTCATAATTCCATCAATGTTGACAAGATCCTCAACACCACTGGCTCTCCAAACCATGACAGAGCCTCCATCTGTTTTACAGATGGCTGTAAACACTCGCTGTTGTACCTCTCTCCTGACCTGCTTGAGAGTTTAAGCCAAAACATTCTCATCTCAATTCAACACACCATAAAACCCGTTCCCGCCGTTTTTCAGTCCAGTTCTCGTGTAAGCTAGCATGCCTTAGCCTTCCTTAAGAACAGCTTCTTAACAGCTAGTCTTCCACAGAGACCATTTTTGATGAGGCTTCAGTGAACAGGCCTTTGTCAAGTCTTAAGGACATGACTTTCAGATACTGTTCCCCTACTGTTGATTGTTTTTTAGGTTTTAGCCTGCCACTTCTTGTTTTTGTCCTCCACAGAATGCTGAGATATGTCAGGCTTTTAGCTAATAGCTCTTTGGTAATCAGCTTCGTGGAGCAAAACTACAATTTTATGCCCGTCAAAACATGTCAGCATCATTTAACTGTACAAATAGAAATAAATTATGTCTTGATGCATGCTCAATCATCCGGGTAAGTAAATCCCAAAAGGTTTGATTCTGTTCATCTGGACATAGCGTTGTGCTGAAAATGCTATGTTGCACTACGCTATGCTGAAAATGCTACGTCCAGATAAAGAGAATCAACCTTTCGGAAGGAATAAATGATGCGTTTTTCAACAGGTTGCTATTAGCAAAGTGCCTAAAGATATAAAATAGGTTATTTGCTAACTTGTGTTTTATGTGAAGACCCAACACTGGTTCATCCCTTGAGTTATGTGCTTTTTTAAATGGTTAAATAAATCATGACTCATGAGTCAGTGTTAAGTGGCTCTGGTTTTCTCTGAAAATGCTCAGGTACAAGCAGTTGACTAAAAGTGAGTGAAAAAGCATTCAATGTCCAAGAAAAACTTTGAAAGACCTTTAGGAAGCCTGGAGAACTTCCAGACCAAAAAACAATAAAGTCTGTCCTTGGGAGAATGATATAAAGAAAGATATAAAGAAATGAGACATTTGCACAGTACTGGATTTAAGATAGGAAAAAGGTGGATGTACAATTACTCCGTTGAAGAATGCCGTCAATAGATGTGTTGTATAATACACATAACATTATAGTACAATCTTATCACTATAATCTTTTAATCCCTATCTCATAATCTTATCTAACCTCACTGTGAGAGGTGATAAGATTGAAGAAACAGGTTGTACGAATTAACAGAAATTGTAAACTTCAAGGAAAACAAGTTGGGTCGCAACACCTTCTAGTGTTTTTGTAAGAAAGCTTTAGTCAATCAATCAATCAATGAAACAATCAAGAAATCTAACTTACTTATTTACTAAGTCCTATTGTGTCACATACTGAACTGGAGGTTGCTACACATGCATTCATTTCATCACATTTGGACTACTGTAATTGATTATTTATAAGTCTAAGCAAAAACTCCCTGGAACATCTGCAGGTTGTTCAAAACGCTGCAGCAAGGCTTCTGACCAAAGTACTCGCATGTGACGCCATTGCTAATACAGCTCCATTGGCTCCATTTTAAGATTCTGGTTCTGACTTTTAGAGCTCTTCATGGACAAGCACCAGCTTAGATTATTGAACTTCTACAGCCCTGTGTCCCTAGCAGGTCCGTGAGGTCATGTGATCAGGGCCTATTTGTTATACAGCAGGGTTGGGCAACTCCAGGCCTCGAGGGCCGGTGTCCTGCAGGTTTTAGATATCACCCCGGGTCAACACACCTGAATCAAATGATTAGTTCATTACCAGGCCTCTGGAGAACTTCAAGACATGTTGAGGAGGTCATTTAAAAATTTGAATTGGACACATCTAAAATCTGCAGGACGCTGGGACTTGAGGCCTGGAGTTGCCCACCCCTGTTATACAGCAAACAAGGCTGAGAACTCAGGGAGACAGAGCTTTTGCCACTGTGGCCCCCACATTATGGAACTCTCTTCCTGTGAGCTTGAGATCTGTGGCCTCAGTAGTCTCTTTAAAAAAACAACAACAACTAAAAACTCATCTTTTTGGAATTGCATTTGGTTAATTTTTTGTCTTTGTTTTAAATGTCCTGGTATTTGTCACAGTATTCAGAAGCAGAACAAAAGGTAAGGCAAACTGATACAAAACTAAACATTAACCTAAACTGGGAGAACTAAAAAAACAACATGAAGAACCCTGATATGAACCTAAACAAACCTGGACAAGAAACTTGGAAACATGGCAAGAAACAACAGATGACCTGACAAGGAATGAATGAAAAAAAAAACCCCAGATTAAATACACACAGGAGGTGATCTGGGGAAGTAGAAACAGCTGACACAAATGAACATAACTACCTCACAGGGGAAAAGTAAACGCATTACACTAATGTGTAACTAAACACATTGAACAAAGAAACAAGAGACTTTCAAAATAAAACAGGAAACAGAGAAATGAAGACGTGACACACAAGCTTGATAACATGTAACACGCAGACAAGAAACACGACATATTGACACTGAAGACAAGAGAAGACTTATAAATGTTATAAAAGTAGTAAAACGAGAATGAAATCCTAACTACTAGTGGCAACACAAGAACTTAACATATTTCCAACAATATAAGGAAACAAAAATACAAAACAAACTCAAAACTGCACAGACCCGACATTATTTTTTTTCTCGTGAAGCACTTTGTAATCTTTGTCCTGAAAGGTGCTATATAAATAATATTTTTACTTACTTTCTCAGTTCTTTTTATTGAATCCGTCTCGTCTCAGGGTCAATAGAGGGAAAGTATCAAAGTGCTTGCAGCAGTGCATAAACACTAAAAAAATGTCACACATATGAAAAAAAGAAGATTTGCCGAAAAAGAAAATGTCCCAGTGGTTAATATATTGTCATATGACACTGTTTGATTATTTCCTGCTGCATTTGCACTGGCTGAGCTGCTTGTGTTATAAATTTGATCTCATCCACAAGTGAGAAACAAGATTTAGATTCACGGTCAGATGCACGATTCTGACCGCTCTTTTCTCTTTGTTCTTTGCGACGTTTGGCCTCTTTGATGCCATTTGTCTATTAAATAATATAAATATGTTTCGGTACATGCATGTTTATCTTAGTTTAGGATGTAATTAGTCTGACATAATCTAAAGTTCAGTGTTGTTATCCAAGAGTGTAAAATCCACTTACCCTGGACCATAACTTTCTGCAAAGTCTCTAATCTAGCTTATCTATATAGACGCTTGGCGATTGCTTTAGGTTTGGCAGGGGATGCAAATAAAGCAAAGACAATGATTGTTATGACAGAAGAATACTTTAACTCTGGAACTTGTGACCTCCACCCCTCTCTCATGCATCATTATGTTTTATGCGTTTTATGTTTTATTTTTTTTAAAGATGTCACTTAAGTGCACTCCTTCAAACACTGCCAAGCATGGCTGAACAGGTGTGAAGAACATTTATATGGCTCAATAATTCATTCTTTATGCTTTTATGACCAGTGATGCAATATGTTTGCAGTGTGCAGGATATGGGGGATGATTATTAATAAACCCCAACACCTTGCAGCACCTTTGGCACTTCGGCACACTGGTCTGAGTACAGAGAAGCCAGCTGCAAGTGCAAGCAAATAAGGAGCGACAATGGGCGAGGAGCAAATTGAAATGGGCGATTCTGCTCTAATGGAGCCTATGAAGACTAAACCCGTGTTGAAACCTCAACCTAACAAATACGAGAGATTGTACCAGCCCTGCTTGGCTGAAATTGTGGGGACCTTGTTCTTTGTTTTCATCGGCTGTGTGTCTGTGATCGAGAACGTACCAGAAGCTGGACGGCTACAGCCAGCCCTGGTGCACGGTCTGGCTGTAGCCGTGCTGGTGGCTGTCATGGATAAAATCAGGTAAAGTTATTTATTAAGTCAAACGTTGGCATTTATGTTTTAGTTGTTGGATTGTTTGTTTGAATATCATTTATGTCAAACTTTAACCTTGGTCACTTGAAGGTTAAAGATAAAGTTCATTTACCTACCTTAAATCTTTTCAGGATATCTTTTGTAGATAAATGAGGCAGTGTATGTATAATTAATGCAAATAAATCAATTTTAAAATATCTAGAGGGTAAAGCAGGGATTTGACGTAGCGTGCCACATATGACACATTTAATCCTTGTGATGTCTTTATATAAGAAAAGGAAGGTCAGTTTCGACAGCGCGTCACTGCAGAAAATGCAAGAAATCTGTCGGCATAACTCTTTGAATTAAATGTGTAAAATCACATAACAAATAACAATTTCTTATAGGTCATCGCCCAAACTATCCTGTAATTATAAAACAGACCATTTTTTGTTAATGCACAGATTTATTTATTTGACTGTGGCTTCACTGTAACAAAAATAAATTTTTACAATAAGTGACGAAAAAAACCTTTTCTGTCACTGTTAATCTATCACCTTGTTTTACTTTGAAGTAGCATGAGTGTTCACGGGGAGGTCTTTATCAGGAGTCTTTGCTGGCCCATTCTGGCCCCTGGGCCTTATGTTTGACAACTCTAGGTTAAAGGTTTACCATGTAGACATTTACCAGATTTGAGTGGAGTTAGCTCAGTTTGTTCTCAACTTTGTCTTTGTTGCTCCTTTGCCTCCTCCCAGTGGCTCTCACTTTAACCCTCCCTTCACTGTTGCCATCTACCTGTGTGGAGGCATGGACCTGATGATGGCGGGGCTCTATATTGTCTGCCAGCTGATTGGAGGAGTGGTGGGAGCTGGAATGGCCAAGGTCAGTTGAAGGTTCAGCACCTTCACATCTTCTAAACAGATGCATGTTTGAATATCCTGTGAATTTTCACCACAACTGTACTGTTTCATAGCTGATGACCCCTCCAGAACGCTTCATCAATGCCACGGGAGCAGCGTTTACTATCCTCAAGTCAGACAGCCAGCTGTCACGAGCCATATTCGGAGAGGTGGCCATGACCTGCCTGATAACTTTGGTGGTGCTGCTGGTGGCCGTCAATACCAGGACGAAAACCCCACTGGCTCCTTTCCTGGTGGGCTGTACGGTCATAATCAATGTCTTGGCAGGGTGAGACGCAGGGCCCTGCTGGACAGGCAGTCAGTTATGGTCATCTTCCTCATGTACTCACTGTAGTTCGTTGTCTCCTTCTGGATAGTGGTTCAGACACTCACTAGCCCCTGGCCTCCTTCTTTCTGCTTAGTGTACAGTCTCAAGGTGCTGGATTTAGGGTGAAATCTTCCATGTGTGGTCATGAGCTTCCTTGTCTTGATGTCAGTGGCCAGCTTATTATCCCAGCAGTGTACCTGCGGGGCGATCATGGCTCAAGAGTTGGGAGTTTGCCTTGTAATCGAAAGGTTGCTGGTTCGAGACTAGTCTCGGTCCTTGGGCAAGACACTTCACCCATTGCCTACTGGTGGTGGTCAGAGGGCCTGGTGGCGCCAGTGTTCGGCAGCCTCGCCTCTGTCAGTGTGCCCCAGGGCAGCTGTGGCTACAATGTAGCTGCCATCACGAATGGGTGGATGACTGAATGTGTAAAGTGCTTTGGGGTCCTTAGGGACTAGTAAAGCGCTATACAAATACAGGCCATTTACCATTTTACCTGATCACGGGCAGGGCGGTGATATTAATTTGATAGCCTGGATCTTGTTCTTGCTATTTGCCTGTGGGATTCCCAGGTACTTGTAGCTGTCCTCAACTTCTGCAATGTTGCCTTCTGGTAGTGCGATCCATGGTAGATCCTGCACTTGAAGATGACTTGTGCTATTGGCTTGAAATTGCCCTCTAGTGTTGTTCACCTTTATATATTAATGAATCAAAAACTTTTACCCATTAATAATATTGTAAAAATATATGATATCCTGGTCTGATTGCTTTTGGTGCTTTAGGCATATTCTAAAGTGTTTTGCATTATTGGCCTACTTAAGCAGGATTTTATCTTGTGCTTAAGTAAATGATTTAAAAACTTGTTTTTCCTCTTGTTTAACTTTATCACTTATGTGCAGGGGTGATATATCAGGAACGTGTCTAAATCCTGCCAGGGCTTTCGGTCCAGCTGTGGTGACCGGCTACTGGACTTACCACTGGGTGTACTGGGTCGGTCCCATTGGGGGAGGTCTTGTGGCTGCTGCTTTGGTCAGGTAAGAGAAGTTACACATAAATGGATTACTCAATGAAACCGCGGGAATGATACACCAGTGTCACTGTCTCTTCCTGTTTTTGCAGGATCATTCTGGGTGATGATAAACTCCGAATCATAATGAAATGACTCCATTTACAGCTGTGGTGCAGGATTCAATATATCCATAAGCTCTGTCTTTCACTCCATATATTTAAAAAAGGGCATACTTTTGGATATTTCTTTTTGATGCTGTTATTCCATGGCAGTTTGTAATCTATGGATTGTTGTTTAGTATAAAATAAATCAAGAAAAATACATAAAATCATTTTTTTCTCAGTTCTTCCCCATAAAAAAAGAACACTGTCATTTAATCTAAACTCTTTATTGGGATTTTTTTCTGCAGTGTCACGTGTGCAGGTGTGAAACGACACAGTGTGATATTTAAAAAAAGAAAAACACACACACACAGAGCAGGATTATTTTTGGCGGCATGCTTTATTTTCGTTTTCCAACCATGATTTTAATGGTCACAAACTGCGCTTTTCACTGCCGACATCTCAACGGTATTTCTCAGAGAGACCCAGGGCCACGGCGGCCAAGAATTTATCGAAGGCGACATGAGCTTCCGGGGTGAAATCTTTAGGGAACATAGTGGCGATCACCACCATAATGGTGTGAGCCAGGATCTGCAGAGAGAGGAAACAGTTTACACCACATATGAAGTTTGCTCGGCAGAAATCGCTTTTAATAAACAGACTGTTTGTTAGTACAAATGCTAACAAACATAAATAAACTCGATCTTCTTAAAAACAATCTTTTCAATACATTGGATTATTTTGTTACATAAATTAACCGTGCGTGAAATAGGAATAGACAATAACCTCTGTTTATAACTGAAATCGCATATGCACATGATCCGCGTCTTACCTTGAAGTTAGATGGATCCACCCTCAGCTTGAAAGCGTGCAGCTCGCTCAGTTCCAGCAGGCCGCCTCTCAGGTTGTCAATCTTGGACACGGCCTCAGTGACTCCACCCAAGATCAGCTTTCCGTGAACCATCACGGGGTTAGAACCGGGAGTCAGGTCCGGCCAGTGGGAGAAGTAAGTCTTGGTTTGCGGATACACGAGGAGCATCCTGTGAAAGCAGAGATGAACATGGTGGGTCACAAGCTCCAGTGGCGCAATCGGTCAGCGCGTGGTACTTATAAGACAGTAGCCTGCAGAGTGATGCCGAGGTTGTGAGTTCGAGCCTCACCTGGAGCACGAGCTTATTTTAAGTAGTCGAAGTCATGTTAATTTGAAGCGTATTTAAATATTTGAGGCGACTGTTGCTGTAATTTGGCGCTGTATGAATAAAATTCAATTGAACTGAATTCAATAAAGAAGTGCCTATACAGCCTTACCTGCCCAAAGCTTCGCCTCCAAAAGTATCCAAAGACTTGGAGACCTTGGCCCAGAGTGCCTTGACGGCAGCCTTGTCTTTCTCACTCAGACTCATGTTGGATTGGTTGTCTCTTTCTCTCTGATGATGCTACCCGGCGAGGAGCTCTGCTTAAATTCAGTTCCCCCCTCGGTCACACCCACGGCATCTGATACCAAGCCGCAAGCTGTGACGCAGATAGGACTCATTCACCGGACCTGATAGAAACTTGTTTGGCTTTAGGCCAACGCAGAGGGTGATATCTGCTGGTGACATCTTGGGTGTGAATTTGCAAAAACACTCAGCATTTTTTCGTGTAGGATACCAAAAGTGCAACGTAACCACATTTTTTGCTTTGCAAGTTTGTGAGAAGTTAGAGGTGAAGCACATGGTCCCCTGATGACTGATGAGTGGAGAACATCTCAGGCGGAGTGATATCATGTGCAGAAAGTCTACAGTTCTAAAAACAATGAGTGAACTCGTGTCTAAGGGGTTGCTGTGAAATTAATGCCAATAAAACTGATTGATTCATAAAACTGAACACATTTTTCTATTACTTCCAGCTTTACTGAGGCCTGAACGAAGTAAATTATAGTAATAGTAGCCTAGTAGTAATAATAATAATGATCATTTTGAATATTTAGAAAACAATTCGATTCGATTCGTACTACTTAAATCAATCAATAAAAAAAATAAAGTATATTTTCGTGATGTGATCATCATTTAAACAATTTTACCAATGAAGTACAATATACGTATAAGAAAATGATCTATTTGTAAAAAAAAAAAAAACAGGTTTCGTGATCGCAAAGAATGTGGGTCATTTATGGATGCAGGTAGGAGTTACAAAAATGCGTGCATGCACATTACGCATTTACAGAAAAGAGCGCAAAATTCTATAATATATGCAAGTACACTCTGTGGATCTAGGATATACTAAAAATACAAGATTAAAAAACAGCTCTTCTTATCAAATTGAAGCTGTTTAAAGCTTTCTCAGATTTATCAGATTTAATTTTTTAATTCAGCATTTTTTTTCTTTTTTGGCTCGGGCCATAAAATAAGTTCCTATCAGTGGTAGAAAATAGAGCAGACGGCCTTTATCAGCCAGCTCAAGTGTTCTTAATCAAAACACATGCATCTTTGGGCGCAGGGGGGTTTGGGTGGAGGGGGGTTCGCTGCTGCAGATAACGCCGGTGTGGTTTACGAGATATAACTTAAAGAGCGTCAAACACTCTCGAGCTGCTTGGCAACCATTCCTCACATTTAAAATAAAGACAAATAAAGACTAAATAAATAAATAAATTCTTTCATTTTTCTCCGCATAAATGTTTAGCCTTTTTACTTATATTTCTATATAATGTTGATATTTTTGTGAAGATGTGAAGTTGTTGAACCTTTATTTGTATAATATCAGCCAGATACAGACGAATTATGAATTTCCATATTAAAAAAATAAATAAATCAGAATTCACATTTAAAAATATATACACACTTTATTTAGATTTTAAAAAGTGGGGGACGCACTTTGATCAATGTTGACAGATAATTTTCAAAAGGCCTATTTTACATTTTATGAATTTTATCCTCTGTGTGATTTGTTTAAAAGCAAAATAAAATAAAATAAAATAAAATAAAATAAAATAAAATAAAATAAAATAAAATAAAATAAAATAAAATAAAAAAAATCATCAGCAACTCAGGATTCAGCTAATAATAGCTGAATAAATAAATAAATAAATAAAAATAATAATAAGAATTATCAGAGACTTGAGGACTGCATTTGAAATAACTGTAATAGAATATATACATTATAAATATTGGGAATATTTTGCGCATAAAGTATTGGGCTTTGGAATCTTTGGCCGCACAATAACTGCGCTAATTGAAATTTTGTTTTTGGCTTTGCTAAAATTGCGCAGGACACGAATAACAAAACCGTATCAACAAATCCAGAAACTTCTGGTGAAGTCTGCAGTTTATCTCACGCGCATCATCTCCAGCCTATCACAGCAGACTTCTCATTTAGGGTGGGGGAGCTTCGACGCATTTAAATAGATGCAGGGGGTCTGGTGAAGCACTATTCAGCCTTTTCCTTCAAGCCTGAAGAAAAAAATCATAATCAAACGCCACCATGGTTGAGTGGAGCGAAACCGAACGCAGCATCATCACCAACATCTTTTCCAACCTGGACTATAACGACATTGGGCCCAAGGCTCTGGTCAGGTAAGGAACACATCTGCAAGAGGACAAGCCTTCCTATGACGTGCTCTGGGGCCAAACTCACGTGTGTTTCTCCCTTGCAGGTGTCTGATCGTTTACCCCTGGACTCAGAGGTATTTCGCCTCCTTCGGTAACCTCTACAACGCCGAAGCCATCAGCAACAACCCTCAAGTTGCTGCCCACGGAATCAGAGTGCTCCACGGTCTGGACCGCGCTCTGAAGAACATGGACAACATTAAAGCCACCTACGCCGAGCTGAGCGTCCTGCACTCAGAGAAGCTGCACGTCGACCCCGACAACTTCAAGGTAAACCTCAGAACCCGCCTTTCTTCTTCTTCTTTTTAATGCAAACACGACATTTTCTCATGCCTTTTTTTCTTTCTCCATGCAGCTGCTTTCTGACTGCCTGACCATTGTTGTTGCTGGAAAAATGGGTTCCGCTTTCACCCCAGAGATTCAGGCTACCTTCCAGAAGTTCTTGGCCGTGGTGGTGTCCGCTCTCGGAAGGCAGTACCACTAAAATGTAGATCCGTCTGCATCTGGAAGCCAGAAGGAGATCTAACGCCTGTTTCAATATGTTATGGATCACCTCAAAAAAGAAATAAAGGCCCACTGAAGCAAAGTTTACGTTTTCCCTTTGTATTTATTTTAATTTTACACATGCTTATATTTATATCTTATATCACACTGGGGGGCTGGATGCCGAGTAGAGGGCAAATAAAGGATCTCGTTAGTGCTTTTATGTTTTTAGACTGTAACATGGCGAAATATGAGAGCGGATTTAACTCTTGCAAAGGTTATAATAAAAACTAAACTAATAAAAAATGTATTTTATAGGATTTGTAAGTAAAAACAACCATAACCGCAAAATGACCAGTTGCAGGCTGTTCTTCATTCTAAGGAGAGTACCCTATACTTGTTTTTCAGTATACTAGATACTACTTTGTTTATTTCATTTTCTGTTGGGCGATGAATTGCGTGCACAGCTGGGGATTTGTTGTAAATTACAATTGGAATAAACAAACAAACAAACATACATACATTTAATTTTAAGATTATATTTTTTAAATGTACTTTATTTATCTTGGTTGCACTTTCTATTTCACTGTTTATG